GACAGGGAGAAGGTGGGGCAGGCCAACCAACAATTATCACCTTTCTAGTGAGTGAGGAGAGTGTAAAGTAGCATCTTACAGAGGCTTTGATTTGCATGCACCCTACGAGTAATACTGTTGAAGAAATAGCTATTCAAATCCTTTGTCTATGTTTAACTGGATTGTCTTTTCACTATTTTATTGTAACAGTTATTTGTATATTTTAGACATATGTCCTACCAATATTTTACTCCATCCTATGTGGTTTTTCACTTTGTTTGTTTGTGGTACTGGAGATTAAATCCAAGGCCTTTGCAGTGAGCTATATCCCTACCCTTTTTTAAAAAAAGGTCTAGCTGGGTACACACCTGTGATCCCAGAACTCGGGAGGCTGAGGCAGGAGGATCACTGCAAGTTTGAGGCCAGCCTGGGTTACAAAGTGAGTTCAAGACCAGCCTGAATTGCATAGTGAAAACTTGTCTCAAAAAAAAAAAAAAAAAGACCAAAAAAGAAAACAAAAGAAAAGAAAAAAGACATCAAAATTACTGAGTTTTTAAAAATGTTATTAGTCTATATTTATATAATGATCACATCCCCCATCAGGAGCTGGTGCGTGTACATAACATATCGTAATTCTTCTTCATCTGCTCTCCCTCTTCTTCCTCCCGCTCCTCAACCACTAAGTTGCCCAGGCTGGGCTAGGACTTGTGATCCTCTTGCATCAGCCTCCCGGAGTGCTGAGATTGCAGATGTGCAGAACCCTGCCTGGCTCGGTTTTTTTTCAGTGCTGGGGATTGAACCTAGGGCCTCGTGTATCCTCATCGAGCCCTCAGCCCCTGAGCTACACCTCCACTTTGGTTGTTGTTGTTTTGAGACAGAGCCTCGTCCTATAGTCCAGCTGGACTCAGATTTACAATTCTCCTGCCTCAGCTTCCCAAGAACTGGGATTACAGACGTGTGCCACCATGGCCAGCTTCCAGCCCCGCATTCTTGATAGCACCCTTTGAAGTCCAAGCTATTTCCATGCAGGATTTTCCAGAGACGGGTTACCTTGTTCAAAGGTGATCATAAGTGCAAAATCTTCTAAATGGCCTGAGTGTCCCGTAGCTGGGAGGAATTACCAGCCCACATGGAGACAGAACCCCAGGGTGCAGCTAGTTAGAGGAGAAGGCCCCTTGGGCTGGAGCCCTCTTCTCTGCCCACAGGCAGCTCTTAAATGGCAGCACCCTGCTCCCACCCCAGGGCGCTGCAGTTGGTGGGAAACAGGATGCAGCTTCTCTTTGGCATCACACCAGTGGAGAAAGACCCATATGTCCTTATCCAGGCCCTGCTGTTCTCTGCCTTATGACAGCCATCCCTGAGCAGGATCTAAACTTCCTTGACTCTTTCCTTTAGCAAGTTTGTTACCATTTGATTTAACTTTCTCTAACGGCCACCAGCCCAACTTTTTTCTTCCTTTTAGACAAGGTCTCACTGTGTACGTAGTTCAGGCTGGCCTTGAACTCGTAGCAATCCTGCCTCAGCCTACTGAGTGCTGGGATAACAGGTGTGCGCCACCACACACGGCCAGCCCAGTTTTAATTCAGCAGCAGAAACATGTGCTCAGAATTCTCAGAAAAGCCCCCAGCGATGAAGAAATGACTGACAAGCTGCCTCTATCCTCACATTAGTAAGATGAGGAACAGCCCTGGACACGGAAACTGCCGGTGAGATCGCGGCGGGGGCACTTACGCTCAGGGCGTGGCTCCGCAGGTGCTCCTGGCGGGTGAACCTCTTGCCGCAGGTGTCGCAGGGGTAGGGCCGCTCGCCCGTGTGGGAGCGGATGTGGCGCTTGAGGATGCCCTTCTGTTTGGCAGTGTACGGGCAGAAAGGACACTTGTGGAGCTTGATGGGCACCACCAGCACGTCACCTGAAGAACCAATGCACTGATTCAGCTGCACTGTAAACGATGACATCCCCAGCCGCCCGCTGATGGAGGGGATCTGGAGCTGGGGGACTCCACCAGCCAGATAGACAGGGAAGACACCAGCCCCACCACCGGCCAACCCCAAGACGCTGTCTGCAGTCACAGCGCCGTCTTACTCCCGGTCAGCCAGACGGTAAAGTGGGCTTCTGATATCAGTTTATAGAGAGCAACAAGAGGTACCAGCTGTCACATTTCTCTGAGTGTGGTCACAGTCTGAAATACAGCTTACATTACAACCACAGAACACACATGCTATCGTGTGGATAGCTGGAAAAGCTTCCCAAAACAATACTCTCTCTGGGAATGTCTTCTCCGTTTGATTTCATTACAAAATGAGAAGTGAGCTGAACATGGTGGCACACACCTGTAATCCCAGCACTCGGGAGGCTGAGGCAGGAGGATTGTTGGGAGTTGGAGACCAGCCTGGGCCACAAAGTGAGCTCAAGACCAGCCTGAACTGCATAGCGAGACCCTGTCTCAAAAAGACAAAAAACAAAACAACAAAAACAAAATGAGTTCAAGGCCAGCTTGAACTACATAGCGAGACCCTGGCTCAAAAACAGAAAAAGAGGGAGAGAGATGAGACCTTGTTAGGAACTGAACTGTCACCACAGAATTTATGCCTTAAAGCCCTAACTCCTTTTCT